GATCGTTCTGTCAGTTAGCACTGAGATTGAGTGCTCGGTTTTATGCGAGTGAGGTAAGTAAATTATGGTAACGCCCTTTGATTTTAAAAGCATGTTTTGATTTGTTTTTGAAATGGTGGCGGGATTAAACCCGTTTTACACGAGCATGATTGATTTGAAGTGAAATGTCTTATGCTTTTCATTAAATTGAGCATGCCTACTTGAAATTTAATGATTGTCTTGATGATTTGAAAGTGATTGTGAAGTATGATTTTTCTGTTAACTTCTGCCTGTTTTGTCTTTGATGTGGTCATACCCTGCTAGTGGGGGAATTTATAAACGCTAGCACATGTCGGCACATGTCGATATGTTTCTGTAATCCTGCTAGTGGGAGTTAAACGCTAGCACATATCGGCACACGTCGATATGTTATTTGTGACCCTGCTTGTGGGGGTTATACACCAACAAACAGTGACCCTGCTTGTGGGGATTATACACTAGCAAACAGTGCGCCTGCCAGTGGGTGTTAGACATTGGCCGTGATGTATAGAGGAGACGTTTATTTCGTTCTCGTACTGTATCCGTTTTGCGTGATTGCACATGTTGGCATGCTATAAGTTTAATAATGGGCACTCCATATTTACTTACTGAGTTTATCTCATAGTTTTTCTTTGTCCACCATTTCAGGAAGTGAAATTGAGGACGGGGAAACCACGGGAAGTGACGAGTTAGAAAGCTAGCAATTTCGAGATTGATATAGATTTTTAGAAATAAATCATGATCTTGTAAACTAGTATATTGGAGATTTTATGATATGAGAGAAAATTTTAAAGATTTGATCTTCAGATTTTGATGGCATCAGAGTACATTATGATAAGTTCCGATCTTTGTGCATTTGTGGGACCTTCTCACGAGTGCACGGCGTCTGTCGCGCCTCGAATTCGGGTTTTGGGGTGTGACACTTCATTGGAGAAAAATGGCAAGATCATGTACTTATTCAAGAATAACAGAAGTTTAAGTCCCTAATTCAGTTAATTGATTACACTTACATTCTTGTTTATACAATGGGCATCTTGTTGATACTATGCGTGTACCCACTCTGTCCTAATAAATTGTTCGTTTGACCTTTTAGTTTTTATGCATACTTATATCCAATATGATAAGAGATTCATGTTTTATATAATAGATTTACATTAAAATTATAGTTTAGATAATGATTTTTTT